GGGAGGGGATTTGGAGGGGAAGGTAGGGGAGAGCAGGGAAGAAGAGTGGAGGAGACGGGAGGGGAGGGGAGGGGAGGGAAAAGAGGGGAGGGGAGGGAAGAGAAGGGGAGGGGAGGGGAGAGGAGGGGAGGGGAGGGGAGTAGAGGAGGAGTGGAGGAGAGAGGAGGGGAGGGGAGGGGAGGGGAGGGGAGGGAACGAGGATGGGGTGACAACTAACACCCAGCGCCCCCGGGTCCCGCCCTGGCGCCCACCTCGAGGATGTCGATGAGCACGCTGTCCTCGGCCTGCCGGGAGCTGCGCACGTCCTCCAGGACGAGCGAGTAGTGCACGCCGCGCGTGTCCGACTGGTACAGGTTGTAGGTGTCCGTCTGGTGCCACTCCTGAACCGCCACAAACACCTGGCTCTCGTCCGTGCTGATGATCTGCAGATCCTGGGGACGCGGCGGGGGAGAGCGCAGGTCAGCGGTGCAGAGGGGAGGTGGGTGTGGGGGAGTTAGCCTGAGGGAAGGGCAGGCCTGGGGTGCCGGGCATGGCTCTCTGGGAGCCATGCCGACCTAGGCCTCCGACCTGCTGCTGCCCTCAGCTCTGTGACCTTGGTCCGCCCCCGGGTCTCTGTCTTCCCACCTGCAAAATGGGGGTGACGTTCCAGCCCTCCGGACTGGCTCGTGGGAGGGATGCTCACAGGGGGGCTGTCTGCCCGTCTCTCCCCGCCATGCACGCTTGCACCCCCAGACGTCGGGAAGCACCCCGAGGGGTCACCTCTGCGAGGCAGGGGATGGGCCTCCCCTCCCCCAGGCCCATCCTGAGGGTCGGACCAGTCATCCGTTGGTTCCTTCACTCAGCACGTGTTCATAAGGCGCCGTTCATAAGGACCGTAAGGTGCTGGTCCAGGCACTCGGGCTCAGCGGGGAGCCACGGGCGGGCTCTGCCCTCGGGAACGTTCCCCCCCCGCAGTGGGAGGACTGGGTTAAGTCACTCCCAGTCCTCTCGAGGCTCAGCTCCGGGTTTTACAATTCAGAAGCAAAACAAAACCCACTGACGTAAGAAGGAAGCAAAAAGGGACCCAGGGCCACCCTTGGCTCTGCTTTTCTTTTCTCTCCCGGCCAGCGCCCAGTCCTGCGTGGGAGCCCCGCGAAAAGGGCCATTTCAAAGCCACAACAAGCCTTCACTCCCCGGCGGGCGCCGTTCCTTCCCTTTCATCACTCTGACTTTCATTACCCCGCTGGCAGCGCGGCTGCCTGGCTCTGCCGACGGGCGGATGAGGCCGGGTGAGGCCAGCCAGCTCCTGCAGAGGCGAGGCCGACCCCTCCGCCCCCGCCCAGTTTGGGGGTGCACTTCTCTCTACGCCTTCTCATCCGCTATCAGGGCCGGCATAGACAGAGGAAGCTGGTTTCTCTAAGAACGGACGGAGTCCCTGTTCGTCCACGGGACGTGGCCTCCAGTGAGAGACAAGATCTGGCCGCCCGGGGTAGGACGCAGGGCTGATGGCCCCCTGCCTGCCCTCCCCGCGCAGCCCCCGAGAAGGGGCTTTGCAGAAAGGGGAGGCAGCGCTGTGAAGCATCGGGAGGTCCCCGGCAGCCTGAGCCGGGGCCCTTTGTCTACGCCGGAAATCTAACACGCGGAAATGACTGGAACCAAGAAGCTCGTCACCAGGCAGGGAGCGTCCACGACACGGGACAGTAGGGTGGCGGGGCACAGGGACGGACACACGCAGGACCCGGCACTACAAGCAAGTGGACCGCTGCTCCCGCCTCCTGCCTCCCTTCCCCTATCTGTCGGCTCGCGGCCACAGGCCGAGCTGCGCTGTGTCCACGGGGTTTGCGCAATCCGCCGCCCCAGTGGGGAAGGTGTTCCACGGGCCAGCGGTGCTGGGCCGTGCTCAGGCGGTGCCGGTGGCGATCACGTGGTAAGTGACCGACATCTGCTGTGGCATTAATCCCAACCTCGTCTCCTCTGCACCTGGGTAAGCGCATTTGGGGGAATGCTGACTATGATCTGGGAAACAAAGAAAAACATAGGAAGTGGCCGGAAGTTGCCAGCAACGCCGTCCCTAGAGAGACCCGATCCCACCATTTAAAAATGTTCACTTTGGAGCGCCTGGGGGGCTCAGTCGGTTGAGCGTCCGACTTCGGCTCGGGTCATGATCTCGCCGTTTGTGAGTTCGAGTCCCGCGTCAGGCTCTGTGCTGACAGCTCGGAGCCTGGAGCCCGCTTCGGATTGTGAGTCTCCCTCTCTCTGCCCCTTCCCCAGCTCACACTCTGTCTGTCTCTCTCTCAAAAATAAACATTTACAAAAATTTTTAAACAAAAATAAAAACGTTCACTTTCGGGCCTTTTCCCACGTGTGATTCATAGGTTTTTCTTCCCACATGCAGTGTGCAGCTCTCTCTTTCACCTTATACGGGGAGATTTAAGCATACACACTTTTTGATGACGGCATATTATCGTCATTGTGGGCGTACCATGTTTCACCGAAGCATTTCCCCACTGGCGAGCCATTGGCGTCTCCAATATTATGTGCAGGACAGTCGTCAACATCCCTAGACATAGGTCTCTGCCTCTCGGATCACATCCTGAACATAAATTCTAAGGGGAAATTGTTGCATTGGAGAGCAGGAACGTTTTTAAAGCTCTTACACATGTTCCATGACGGTCTGAGAGTTTATACGAATTCCTTCCCCACTGGCCTGGCTAAAAGGATGCTAATTTCACGCCATGCATGCCGATATTGAGAATGGTCTTTTAAAAAAATCTTTGCTGATTAGAGACTATGAAAAAAGACCAGAGAGAAGAGATAAAAAAAAATATGCAGTGTTTGCTCACATCTGGATTTATGTTATTCTATCTCTGAAAAGAAAAGTTAGGAGCCAGAGAGACATGTGTTGACTCCATTTTCAAAAAAAGGATGCGAAAAACAATCAGTTCTATGTACACATCTGTAGACGTATTTGTAGATACACGTAGATGTGTCTGCCTCTGTATTTGTACGGCCTGGAGAGAGACGTGGAAGGAAATACCAAAGTCGCCAATATTTGTTACCGGGTAGAATTAGGCTTGGTTGCATGTGACAGAAACTAGAAAAGAAAAGTTGGTTCAAACAAGCCGGCTCCTTCCTCCCTCATGTAAAAAAGTCTGCAGGTGCATGGTCTGTTATGGAAGTTCTAACATGTCACCAGGGACAGAGGCTCCTCCTGGGTCATCATCCCGCTGTCCCACGACATGGCCCTCGTCCTCATGGTTCACGATGATGGTCAGAGTTGCGGCCATCATGCTGACGTGCGAGCAGCAGGAAGGAGGAAGGAAAGAGGGAGACAGAGGCTTGCCTTTAGAGGGGGGCTCTGAGAAGTCTCCCACGGCAACCCCACTCCCGTATGTGGCGGCCAGACGTTAGAGACGTGACCACGTGTTTGCTGCAAGGGGAGCTGGGAAATGTGGTCTTGTGCTGGGAAGCAATGTACCAGCTAAAAGTGGGGGGTTGTTAAAGCAGAGGCTCAGGGGAAGAATGGATACTGAGAAGTCTCTACGAGTTATACACCTGTTACCTTGAGGGACAAAGAGGCAAGACTGTCGTGGAAACAGGGAATGGGGAGGCCAGAAGGTAGAAACAGCATATATGCCTGTAGTGTTTCTTTAAATGGCTTCCCTGCCCCCTCTCGGTCCCCTGTCCTTCTGGGACACCCACACACATACGTTGGTCACTTGCTGCTGTCCCACTGGTGTGCCTTTCCTCAACCCATCTTCCTCCCTCTCCCTCAGACTCCGTAACGTCAACGGTCCTACCTGGGAGTCTTCCTTCTGTCTGTTCAAACCTCCCTCCAAGCCACCTCGTGAATTTTGCATTTCCAGTGTTGTCCCTCCTAGCCACAGAATTTATTTTTGGTTCCTTTTCATGTTTTCTATTTCTTGGTTATTTCTATTTTGCTCATTTTTACACTGTTTCCTTGACCCACTTCACGGTTTCCCTCTCTTTGAGCGTCTTTGGGACAATTGTATTAAAGTCTTTGTCTGGTAGGGTTGCCATCTGGTTTTTCAGGGACAGCTTCTGTCGCTTTCTCCTTTGATCGGATCGTACGTTTTTTATGCCTTGTAATTTGTTGTTGTTGAAAACTGGACACTGGAAATTAATAATGTGGTAACTCTGGAAACCAGATTCTCTCCCTTCCTTGGGTTTGGTTTTCTGTTTCTGTACCAGGGATCTGTCGGAGCTAAAAAGTTAAGCTCTTCTCAGATCTTTTGTGAGGCTGAGCCATTCCCCTGGGGCATGCATGGTGACTTTTGTAAACTCCAACAGGCGTGTGGTTGCGTGTGAGTGTCGTAGTCCCTAAATCTCGGCTCCCAAAAGGGGACAAGAGGGGACACAGAAGAGGGTGGGGGCTGGAAGCAGGCTCTGGCCCGCTGTTGGCTGCAGTGACGGCTTCCCGCCAGGATGCTGCAGCTCCGTGATGAGAAGCAGCCATCAACTCCCAGCACAGACCCCCAGGATTGGGAGAACGGGGTCCCCATGGCCATCCTGGCTCCCACTGTCCACGCTGCTCACGCGAGCCCTGCCACGAGGCTGCGGCGGGCAGGGTGGGGGGCTGCTATCACGGAAGACCCAAAATTGCAGAAATGAGCCCGGATTCACTATCCACACGGTCGTCTGGACGCTGCAAGCCTCCGAACAGACCCCAGAGTTCCAACGCAGCTGCACCACGAGACGCCCCAGGAGCCACCGTCGCCCAAGTGGGAAGACGCAGGGCTGGCGCTTCCGGCCCCTCCCCCAGCCCCCGTGGCCTTCGTTCTTACGCTTCACGCTTTCATTTTATTTTATAAAGGTTATTACAAGTAAAAGGATATTTTACTTGGAAGTAAATTTGCATTTGCTTTATGCTTATGAAAGGTTGCACATAACTGATGGTCTTTTGGATTTCTCTCCTCTTGTCTGTTTACAGCCTTTGTCTATTTATTTTTTCTGTTAAGGAAGGTGGTATTTTTTTTTTTTTTTAATCATTACAAGTAAATAATTCAAGCAAAGGGTGCTGGCACGCCTAATCAAGCCTGGTCGTCTTTTGTAGTTTCGCAGGCAGGTGTAAAAGGAGAGTCGCGTGGTACGAGTCACGCCGTTTAAAGTACAAGGAACGTGGAAAGAGGGGACACGACACAAAAAATCTGGCCGAGCTCTGTTGAAACCGGTCTACTCCGACTTTGCCGGTGGCAAGGTGGAACCTTTTAGGAAGCAGCCCAGCTACACAAATATTTAAATCCGTTGTCTAGAAGTTCTTCTTAGACTTGAACTTGAGAAAATAAAGACATACCCGCAGGCACAATAGGTGAGCATTGCCGCCTTGTTGGAAACGACCAAGGGCCCAACCACAGAAATCTGGCTTAAACGAGGTACGGTCTCCTCCACGGGCAGTTCTACAGTCACTGACAGTGGGTCTCCGGCACCATCCCGGGAAAATTTTCATGATATCACATCGGCTGCACACGGAATGCCTGCTCTGATTCAGCTACGCGAAAGTCACTGGGGCATGTGGCCAAGGACTGTAAGAAGAACCAAACAGGGGCCCGGCGGATGGGACAGGGATGGGGGGCGGGGACGGGGGAAGGGGGACTGGCACAGGGGCTGGGTAACCGGGTAGGGAGCCTCCTCTCTGCTCTAATTTCTATTGTCTTCCTGATGTTTCTACAGCAATTAAAGGCGGGGGGGGGGGGGGAATGGAGTTGGTTTGAGGGGAGGAAACAGACAGGAGCTACAAATGCATCATGAAACAACCCAATCTGATTAGGAAATTCCACTGGCCGGTTCTACGGATTGTTGGTGGGAAACCCTGGGGTCTGGTTGCACCCCTGAGTTTGGTGAAGAGGAAACAGCCCTGCTGTCTGTCTGGGCAAAGTGCTCCAAGATGATATGAGGTCTTGACCCCGCGGGGCGCCAGGGGGGCAGGGAGTGCTCCCTGAGGGCAGCCCAGTTCACCCATCATCCTCAACCGCCTGTCACCGGGTCCCGGGCACGGCCCCGAGACAGCGTAGTCCGTGCCCGTGCAAAAGCCACGATGCGAATGGGCGCCTGGTCTCCCCTTGAAACCGATCGCACGGGGGCATGTACGTGCCGCCCACTTGGGATGCGAGGGCCGTGTCTCCCATCACAGCCTCGTGATTCTTTCCGACGGCCCCCTTTGCCCACAGAAATGGGGAAGAAGGAAGCTAGCAGGTAACGTTACCTTTAAGGTCCTGCGGGGGGACATGAGGACCCCACTGACGACTTTGAGAAACACGCACCTCATCACCCCCACCCCCTCCCCGGGCAGGCAAGGACTCCGAGGTCCAGGAGGCGCGGCCAGAGCTCAAGGTCACGGAGGTCATGACTTGTGGCGAAGGCTGAGAACTCCTTCGCACGTGGCCTGGCTGCTGGCCCAGCCGCCCCCGGCCCCGGAGAGCGTCAGAAACCGCCCACATCCCAGTGTCACAGGGGAGCAGGGAGGGGCCGGCACCCACCTAACCCCTCCTTGCCTGCTGTCCGCAACTCCAGGGCACAGGGCCACGACACAGGAGGCTTCTGATGCTGCTGCAGTCCCGGGGGAGGAGGGAGGAAGAGCCTCAGAAGCTGAAAAGGCCGCCTCACTCCCCAGGGACGACACCAACCAACCCATCTGCCCTTAATGAAACCATTAGCCTTTCATTTACGGACTCAGCCAAGCCTGGAGTTAATCTATGCAACTTGCTCCTTTTCGCGCTTTCTTTTCTTTCCCATTTCCCCCCTTTTCTTTTATCAAGGAGAAGTTTTAAAAAGTTTTCTTATAGCTTAAAAAAAAAAACCCATGTATTTTTCTCATTCATGGCTCAGGAGAGGTGTTCTGGTGCCCGGCGCAGCACAGCACAGCTGCGGAGGACTTTACAGCGATGCACAGCCCCCAGAGCAAAGATCTCGTCTCCTCACCATCCTCTGCCTTAAGCCAGGCTCCCTCCTGCCCCAGGGCCTTTGCACAAGCCCAGCCCTCCACCTGTGCAGCTTTCCCACGACCTTTAGACTTCAGAGGAAATGTCCCCTCAGGGAAGTCCCCCCACTTCCTCACCCTCTGTCTCTGCCTCTCCCCCCCTCACAGGGCAGAGCACAGCCTGCAACTATGTTGGACATTTGCCTGTTTCCTCTCTGAAAACCCCACGAGAGCAGGAGCTGGGGTATCTGTTCCACAGCTGTAGCATCAGATCCCAGCTTATACTTGATGCTCAATAAATACGCGTGGGAGAACGGCTGCTCCAGTCTGCGCTTCTAAATTATAAGCACCGAGGATAGAGGTCTGCGAAGCGGGCCATCCGATGTCCTCTGGAGGGAGATGTGGCATGAGGCTGGTCTCAGACTCACAGGGACCTGGGTTGAGACCAGCTTCGGTTTCTTACTAGCTGTGTGACCTCAGACAGGTTACTGAGCCTCTCTGAGTATCAACCAGAGATTTGAAATGGGATGGGAATACCACCAGCGGGGGGGTGGGGGGGGCACGGTGGAGTCTGGCCCTGAGGCAGGGCTGGGGGGGGGCAGGGTCTAGGCCGCCCCCACCCCCCTCCCTGCCTGCCCAGCAAAGGGGAAGGAAGTGGCATTAATTGAGCACCCGTAGGCATACCAGGCGGCTGGAATGCAGAGGTGAGTAGAGCAGAAACTGCCCCGTGCCTGCAAACCCCAGATGAAAGGAGGAGATGGGTGTGGGGGATCCCCAGCTCCCTGAGGTCGGAAGGAGGCCCTAAGACCGGATGGAGCTGGGCGCACGTGAGGCCGGAGCGGACAGCGTGCGAGCAGAGTGGCTGCGGGAGGCACAGCCGCACTGGCAGACGGGGCAGCGCGGGTCGGGACCTGGCCACGGGGCCGGGCGCGGGGGACCCCTCTTACCTGTGGCAGCGCGTACTTTGGAAGCTTCATCAGGACAAACTCGTTGCGACGGTAAGAGACGTAATATTTGGTCCGGTTTGTTGCGGTGGCCTAACGGGACGGAAGAAGACAAACCCAGGGAGCCTTTGCAGTCAAGCCGGGCCACGAGCAGACGAGTGGGACGCTCTAAATCGCATGTCAGCTGGCGAGAACGCCCCGTGACTTTGCTCACGCCTGCTCTGCGTGAGATGGAAAGACTCGTCCTCATCCTTCAAAGCCCGACACCAAACGTCCACCCTCTGGGACGTCTTCTCCACCTCCGTCTGTGAGAACCAACCTCTGTCCCCACGCTCTCCCAGCACCTGTTTCCCAAATCCAAGAGACGGAAGGTGGAAGGGGTTCTTTGCCCCAGAACTCCTCTTCGGGAGGGTGCGCGGAGGGCCACCGGGGGGAGGACGAGACTGGCCAAAGGCGAGCTCAAGCCACGAAAGACGACCAGCGAGGCGCGAGGCATGAGCCGCGAATAGGAGGCAACGCTCGCTGAGGCCGCCCGCACACGGTGCTCGTTCCCGTCTCGAAGATGAGAAAACCGAGGCACAGAGGTAGTGAGTTGTCTTCCGTGGGAGACGACAGGAGAGCCAGGAAAGGAGAGGCTCTCTAGGGGATGGGGCCAGGAGAAGAGTGGGGGGGGGTGGGGAGAGGGGCAGGGGGGCAGCCGCCGGACGAGGGCAGAGGGCGGTGGCCGGGGGGACGATGGGTGACATCTACGCCTCACCGTATGTGCGTGCCTGTGGGTGTGCACCCATGCACGTGTGTGAGTGTGAACGTGTGACCCCCCCCCCCGGGTGTGTTCACCGTGTGCATGCACGTGGGGGGGTGTCTTCTATGTCTGAGTGAGCACGAGTTGTGTGTGTGTGTGTGTGTGTGTGCGTGCGTGCAGGTGTATGTACATGGCAATGCAGGTCACTGCTTAGGAGCATAGGCCACCATGTGTCACTGGCCGGGCTCGAATGCCAGCCCCACCATCTGTAAACCAGGTGGCCTTGGGAGAGTTTTTTTGAGCCTCGGTTTCCCCGCTATAAATGAGGAGGACAGTATCAGAAACTACGCGATGGGGCAGTCATGGGGAGCAGGATCTGGGAAGCATGTGGGGCGGCCCCAAAGCCCCAGGAGGACTCAAAGAGCTACTGGAATTATTATTACTAATCAACAAACTATAATAGGCTCACAATGTGCAAAGCATCATGACTACAAGGATGAAGAGATTTCTCTAGACAATTCTATCCTGAGGGCAAGGGACTGTGCGGTCTGCGGTGGTCTGGCCCTCAGGGCCCCCAGAGCAGGGAGTATTGGGATGGGGGACGCGTGGGGGTCCTGGGAGCTCAGAGAGAGAGTGTCCTGGGGTGGGAGAGGCCAGGCAGACTTCCTGGAGGAGGAGATAGCACTCTGCTTCCTCAGAAAGAAGAGCCAAGCAGCCCAGAGACAGACCTGCTTAGCAGGTGGGGGAGGACTCTGGAGAGAGTGGCTGAGAGAGGTCGGTGCCCCTTCTCAGAGCCCCGTCTGCCAGCCGCTGAGCTCCCCCAATGGAGCAGAAGGCAGGGCCGGGCTTGGCAGCCCTCTTGGCCTCGAGAAGTTCAGGTTCACTGGGGAGCCCTGTGGGCAGATGCTCAGCCAGCCAGGGCGGGCCAGGCCCATTTCTGCCAGGAGCTGGTGGTGAAGACAGCGGGGTCTTCTGGGGCCCTGGTGCAGAAAGAAGGAGGCCTGCAAACATGGTGACCTTCCTCATCCACTGGCCACGGGGGGAGGGGGCTCGTGGGGCGGGCAGAACCGCCAGTATCCCTGAGATGTGAGTGCGACTTTTAACCCAGGGAACAGAACGCACTAAACACAGCCACATCCTTCACACAGGAGTCTGCCCCCCGCCCCCCGGGTGCCACAGCGTTTCTTCCCCAAATGGCGGGTCACCGGCCACGTCCAGCAGGCCCTCTCCCCACGTGAACGCAGCTGGCATCCGTCCCAGGCCTCCAGGCGGCCAGGACCTGTCACGCCCATTTTATGGGTCAGCAAGTAGAGGCTCAGAGGTGGAATGATGGCTCTTCCCAAAGCCAGCTGTGGCACCATTAGGTTCAGACCCCCACCTGTCTGTCCCCTGCAAAGGAACCAGCACCAAGAGCCACTCAGCACCTCCAGGGGGACCCAGGAAGCGGACTTTCAGGTTCATCACATACTTTGTTGGTGGTGAGGGCTGGTGGGAGGGGCCACCAGGCACCTGCCGGATCCTCTGAGGACCAAGAAGGCAGGGAAGAGAGTACAGCAGGGGAGGCAGGACTAGCTCAAACCCGCCCAAGATCAGTCTGCAGGGGAGCAGCGTCCCCGCGACCTCCAAGTTGGGGGTTAAGACAGCTTTTCTGGGCAGCTTTGGAGAAAGATGGGAACCAGAGCAGGACAGGACAGGAGGCGGATGGAAGTCTGCGGCCCCTGACGGCCTGAGCAGGTGCTGGGGGCCCCCGGTGCTCATGGGGCAGGGTGTGCCCCTGTCCCACATCGACAGTGTCACCGGTCACTGGTCAGACCAGGCCACCGTGACCGTGAGGAATGGAGACCAAGCCCCAGCTGCAGTCCCATCCGAGCTCAGGCAGAGCAAACCCCAGGGATGAGCAGGTGCCCCGACTGTGGTGAGCGGGGACTGCTTCTTCTCCCACCTTCCATGTGGCCTGGTTGAGCCCCGCTCCTTACAGATCAGATTTATCCATACGCTCGTGCGCAGCAAGCCCCTGTGTCCTTGTGTGGACGAGGCAGCTGTGGTGATGAAACGTCCCCGAGACAGGGCAAAGAGGAGGCTGAGTGCGGAGGGAGCCTTGGCATTTATGTCGTGGGGTCCCAGGGGGCAGGACAGGGGCTACCAGATGAGAGTAAAGCCAACGCTTTGTGCCAGAATGAACTTTCTAAAGATCTGAGCTATCCAGGAGGGGGACAGGCTGGTTTTGAAGGAGTGAGCTCCTCATCAGGAGAAGGAATCAAGAAGCGGTATGATCAGTTATTCACTGGAGTTTCTGAATGGTCAGACCACATGGTTCTTAAGGGTGGTCCCAGCCGTGACCTGAGAACCCACGTGTACGGGCAATGACCAGACAGCCCCTATGAGTCCCAAAGTCAGTGGAACCAACAGGAGCAAACTGGGCTTGGGCTCGGGGCCCCCGAGCCGTGGGAGGTTGCTGACGGGCAGAGGCGGGGAGGGGCAGGGAGCAGCATCCCTGCCTCAAGGCTGTGGCTCTGTGGGGCCCTGGTGGGGGGTGCCAGCAGCACGCGGTGAATGAAGTAGCCTCGGAAGGAAAAGAGCCATTTTCTTGCCTCCCGTCCGAGCGACTGTATCTCCCCCAGCGTGGCTGACACTCCATGCCACCTGCTGCCCGTTGGCGGAGGCCCAGCCGCAGCCTTACCTTAAAGAAGATGTAGTCGTCCTGCACGGTCAGAGAACTGTGGTCAATGCGGCCTGGGAACAAAGCCGTCAGCGTCTTGTCGGAGCAGCTGTGGATCTGACAGGTGACGTAGCGAAACCCTGCGGGAGATAAGAGCCAGCACTCGGCGCAGGAAACCTCAAACTCCCAGACTCTTGCCGAAGGGCGCGTCAGACACAGCCTCAGACGCGATGCAACGCCGACCCGTTCTTGGCGCCGTCGGATAGCACGGCTGCGGGTTTGGCTTGCGGGTCCGAGTCTCAGGGGGCCCGTCCTGTGGCTGCACCTGCCGCTGAGAGGTGGCCCCTTACGCCTGGCGCGCTTTGCATCCTCCAGACTGTGCTGTCGTGGCCCCATCTTACGGAGGAGGAAACTGAGGCAGAGAGCGAGGTTGGGGAACGTGTCTAAAGCTGGGCCACCCGGCCTGCCGCCAGCTTCTCGTAAGGGACGAGCCACGCCTGCTCCTCTGGGGGGTCGTCTACAGACGCTTTCATGCCACAGTGGCAGAAAACCCGAGGGCCGCCGAGCTGACCCCTGATGGGGAATGTCCGCTGACCCCGGGCTAAAGTCGTGCGGGCGGGTGAGTGCCCACCTTCTGCTCACTGCTTCATGCCATAGCGCACCCCCAACTTAAGTGTCCTAGCCTGCTTCTGTCTCCCTGGGAGAAGGACCTCAGACTGGCCCAACAGAGAGCCCCAGCCCAGGGGCCTGCGCTGGGCAGGTGCACTCACCCACAGAAGGGCAGCACGGGGCCACGGTGGGCACCCACAGCGGCCATCGTGGCACCGGCCCCCTCCTGCCCCCCGGAGCCTCCCCTACCTAAACAGGGGTGCGTGTGGGTGGGACTCAAGTGTCCTTTCTTCCCCTAACCTCAGGCGAACGCTTTCCTCCCTTCGCAAACGCTTACGGTCAGGCAAAATCGAACGCGCGCTTTGCCAGGCGGCTGCTGTTTTTATTCCGCATCCTGTTTTCCCAGGGTTTGGGGGTCCCGCGAAGTGGTGCAGGGGGGCCCGAGCCTATGCCGGAGGCGCTCTTTGTTCCAACTTGCGGGGCAGGAGCAGGGTTTAACCGCGGACACCAAAGTGGAGCCCACGAGGGCGTTCCGGGTCATCAGTGCCTTTGGGGCACATCCTGCCATGGCCCTGGTGGCTGGACAGCGTGGACAGGGCCGAGGGGCCGGGCTCGGGGCCAGGAAGACCCCATGCCCGCCTCAGCAGCGGGGTGAACTCCAGCAGAGGTGAGGATTAATGCCAGCCTCCAAGAGTGGGTGGGGGCCCAGGGAGACAGCGGCACACGGGGGACCCACAGTCAGCCACGGCTGTGCCACTGCCCCCCGCTCCTGAATCCCGTCCACGTCCCCGCCAAACGGGCTGGTCGCTCCCTGCGGGCGGCACTGGATTATTTCCTGTCCTGGACTCGCCTGCTGGACACGCGGTGGGAACACTCACCCGGGTCTGACTCGAAGTCACCGCCCAGCTCACACCCGCGTTCTCGGGCTCACACCCTCACCCACTCACCCACTCGCACACCCACTCACTCACAGTGGCCCTGCAGCTGCCCTGGCCGCTGGCATTTGACCATGTGCTTATTCACTCGGCAGATCCGCTGGGGATACAGAGGCGAATCAATCACACCCACCCGGTCCCCACAGAGCTGTGACGGCAGCCCAGGCCCCGAGAAGGTGGCCGGCAGGGAAGGTGGTCCAAGGACAGTAAGAACCCCAAGATGGAGAAATGTGGTCGAATGCTCCCAGTAGGGGCGGGGCCAGCGGGGGGGCGGGCAGCTGGCAAGGCGAGCCTGGGGAGTGACCCCCCGGTAGAGGCGGGGCCAGCTGGCAAAGCGAGCCTGGGGAGTGACCCCCTGGTAGGGGCGGGGCCAGCTGGCAAGGCGAGCCTGGGGAGTGACCCCCTAGTTCAGACAGGGTGGGTGATGACTCGGGGAGGGACCAGGAGGTCCGGGTGCCGTGCCACCGAGCTTGGCTAGACTGGACTCTAATGGGGCTCGGAGGCTGGGGCGTGGGTGCCAGGGGTCAGGTGGGGGCGGGGGGACACACGTGGTCTTCAGTGGAGGGGACGCCACTCAGGTGCTACACCAGTTCTGGGGAGCCAGTGGTGTGGCTGCTGGGCCAAGGGTTCTCCCTCTCCCCTGGGAGGGCAGGTCGTGGGAAATCATCTCCACGTGACAATGGTGCCCCTCATCGGGATGCTGGCCTGTCCCTCCTCCCCTCTGCAGGCAGGGCTATCCTGAGAGACAACCACCCCCGTGGCGGGTCAGTCCCCGTGTCACCCTAAGCGAGGCCCGGGGTGTTTTCGGATTTGGGGGTGGAGCATAGTGGGAGCCTGTGACCTTGTGCGTGTGGGCAGCCGGGAACCCCCCTGGGCTTTGTTCTGGGGAAGCCTGAGCCCGATCCAGGAAAGAGCTGAGGGTTCGGAAGAGGTTAAGGGACTCAGCAGCGGCTTCCCTCCACATCCACCAAGCGCTCGCTCATGACGTCCCCGCACTGAGCCCCACGTGGGCACTGACCCATTTCACAGACGAGGACACCGAGGGGCCGGGAGGAGAGGGAACGTCCCCGGGGTCATGCCGCTGGCACACGGCGGGCTGGGAATGGACACCAGTGCTTCTGTTCTCAGCCGGGACTCTCTGTGGCCCGGCTCTGAATCTGCCCCCTGCCCCCACTCCCCGCCGTGTGTCCTACCCAGGGAGCTCCACTGCGTGGCCCTCGCCAGCTCCCACGCCTGTTACACGTGAACCTGTGAGGTCCCCACTCCAAGGGAAACCGGGCAGGAGGGACTCAAGGGCCCCAGCGCCCAGGGGAATGTGGTCGGAGCAGCGACGCCTCCTTGCTGCTCGGGCCCCCTGGCTGGTACAACGTGGACAGCTTCTGTGCTGTCCCCAACCAGGCAAAGGGCAGGGCTGTGGCTTGTTCACCTCTGTGTCCCCAGCAGGGTCAGCACCGGCCTGACCCACAGGGGACTCAAGTACGTGTTGAATAAAGGTCCTCTTGGCTCTGATGTTCCAGAATACCCCATGGTTCTAGAATCTTCCATACTTCTACGGCCAGTGGTCCTCCCTCAGGAGCACAGAGGACCATTCCCAGAGCATGCAAGGCCCCCGGGGCACCCTCTGGCATGAAGCCGGCTGGGCCGGGGCGGCCAGGCCCCTGCCCCACTAAACAGGGACGTCATTGGAAGCCCCCACCTGGCCTCAGCACTCAGCAACGCCTGAGGGGGCGCTCAGAGTGAGCAGGAAACACTCAGTGCTCAGAGGCCGGAACCAATCACCCTCTTAATAGACTTTCCCACTGGAGCAGAGCGCGTGGCTTCAATTTATCCCCAGCTGGAAAACAAGCACACTTAAAGTTACGCCACATCATAACATCTAGAGGTCGGCTGTGCAGGGCCCGCCGAGGAACCGAGCAGGGCACACACCTGGTGCAGGCACATCCCCCCGCCCTCCCCTGGCCCCGACTTACCTCCTCCGAGGTCCTGGGTTTCCATGTGGACCAGGTCGGGGTCGGTGTCCACCCCAGACACAGCCCTGGAAGAGAGCGGGCTGGGGTTGGCGCTGGGAATGGGGACCCCAAGCCCCTCTCACGGTGCCTGCGTCAATCCCTGAACCCCAGGTAGCCATGTGGCCCCGGGGGCTGGGGCCACGCTTGCTCTGTGGTCCTCCCCCTGCTCCTGGGGAGGGAGCCAGAACCCAGGGTTTGCTAGGCATCCTTCTTTTTCAAGTACTCTTTGTAGCAGACTCTCCTTTACCAAAGACGCTCACGTTCCTTGTATCTGTGTTGTTGTTTTGTTTTGTTTTGATGATCAAAACCCCCGTAGGAGGCTGGGCAGGCCTTGGGAGCGGCAGGGGCCTGACGAGCTGACTCTAGCCGTTAGAGTTAGAGCACAGACGTCGGGCCAATACGACTATTAAAAATCCAGCCGCCACAACGACCCTTCTCGTGGACGCTCACCTTTCCCAGTGAGCAAAGTGAGAGTCAGCACAGGGAGTCCCTTCCCGCGGCCGCTCCGCCCAGCAGGCTGCCTTCCCTGTGGCCCCCTCTGGGCCACCGAGCTGTCCTCCGTGGAAGGAGCACTGGGTCTCCGGCAGCCCCTTCCCCAGCGCTGGTGAGCACCACGCCCCCCCCCCCCCAGCTGGTCCCTTCCAGTTCCCAGCTCCAGGGTCCAGGGGTCCCCAGGTGCACAGGGAGAGTCCACAGAGGGTCTGAGGGCCGGGCACCCCACAGAGGCTCCGTGGCACAAGCCAGCGGGGTGTCCCCTGCAGTCCACTGATGTTGCAAACCATGGGCTCCAGCATCCATCACTCTGCCCCTAAATACTATTTCAAGGTGAGGTTTGCTTTAGGCTTTTGTGCACAGACCACTTGTGAGCTCGGAGGACCAAGGTCTCCTGCCCAACATTTCTCTCTCTTTTCTGAGTCAAGTGACGCTGTTCCCTTCTCCAGGGTCACCGACAGGTCCTCGGGCCCTCAGCCGGGCAGCTGGGATTTTAGCCTTACAAGCCTGCACCTGCAAAGTGCAGTAGTGATAGCTCATTCACGCTCTCCCTCCCTCCCTCCTTCATTCACCCCTCCCTCCCTCCTTCACTCACCCCTCCCTCCCTCCTTCACTCACTCACTGATTCGTATCCTCCCTCCCTCCTTCATTCACTCACACTTATTCATTCATTCATTCCCTCACTCTTTCACTCACTCATTTACTCACTCCTCACTGTCTCCCTCCCTCATTCATTCCCGTACATACTCATTCACTCATTCATTCATTCACTCACTCACTCCATCACTAATTTGGTCACTCACTCACTCACTCACTCACCAGCTCACCCCTGCACTGACTCACTCTCCTACTCAGTCTGTGAGTCCCACTCACTCACCTGCCTTCTCCACTGAGCGGCACCCCCACCACCCTCCCGTGCCCCCTGGCTCTCCCATTGGAGCACCCCATCCCCAAGCCCCAAGCCCTGGACCAGGCAAGGGCCCACCCAGTGGGTTGAGGTCCCCGCCCAGAACCCCTTGGTCATGGGTTCTGGCGACCACGTGAGGCTGCATGCACGTCACCTCAGACACAGCCTGGCTCCCTGCAGGGAGGGCCAACCCTGTTTGTTGAGGTCCCCAAAACTGGTGTGTGGGAAGGTCTTTGGTCCGCTGCCTAGAAACAGCAGCCATGTGAGATGGCCCAGGGGCAGGCAGGTGCGTGGAGAATACCTCGGGGACACGGGGGGTTGGTCCGCACTCCTACGGACGTCACGGGAAGCCTAACGCAGACGGTTCCTGTAAACCCTCACAGGCGCCACACCAGGCCCGTGGCGGGAAGGGCTGTCTTCTCCCTTCTGCCTCCCTCCACCACAGAGGCCCTGCCGCCTGTCCCACCCCCCGCCCCCCGGGGCAGGTGCCGAGCTGGCGGAGGAGGAAGGCTGAGACTTTGTGAGTCAGTGGGGCCTGAGCAGAGAAGCAGACATGAGAAGTCCGCGAAGCACAGCGGCCAACGGCACGGCCGCTGGCCGCAGGCGGAGGGCTCCTTGCCGGCAACGTGGTCCAGGACACGTGCCCTAGCCTCTCCGGGCCTCAGTTTCCCCCTCTGTCACGTGAGGGGAAGACAGTCAGGGTCTGTGTTCTCACTTGACACGATGGCGCATTCGTTCTGGTACCTGGTAGATGGTCAGCATCCACAACGTGGCAAGTCCACAATGTGGCTGCTACGACCTCGCTCCGCGGCCGCGGAGGCCAGGGGGAGGGCAACACTCAGGTGCCCGTGGTGGGCGCAGGACGCAGCGAGCCTCCCGCCCCTGGGCTGTGCCTGCCGGGGGCCCCACGGCCAAGCTGATGCGCTCGCTCGCCGGGTAGCCTCCCAAAGCATGAAGGGGTCCCAGCCTCAGACGGAAGGCGGGCGTCGGCCGTCCCGCTGTCGGTTCGAGGACAAAGCACATGTTAGAAATGCTGGCAAAACAGCATTCTTCTCCGCTTACAAGAGGGGGGGCTTCTGCCTGTCACCACGTTCCGGGAAGGGTTCCTGGGCCCCAGCGGCCAAGCGTCTGGCCCGATTATCTCTCACGCATAACAGCTCAGAGCAATTTGAGAAACTTGTGGGAGAAATGATTTGATTTGCCCGAGATAATACCCTGCTTGAGTTAGCGCTAGCTTACCGCGGGCACGTTTCCCTCCCCGTCCCGAGCGATCTCCCTGTGCCTGGCCTGGCCTGGGACAGAGGGCGGGCCAGCACCCGCCACCTGCCTCCTTGCCCCTCCCCACCCCCTGGGAGCCCCTGGGGCCAACAGTTCCCACCAGTGACGAGGCCGGTGCTTGATGTGGCCTCGGGCCTCCCAGGAAGGCACCGCGGGATGCCGTGTGGCGAGAGCCGTGACCTCTCCCACCAGCAGAAGGCACGCGCACCAGCCGGCAACATCCCAGAGTTAGAGACGCGGGCCTTTCGGCCACGAGTCAGGGAACTAGCTCCTTGCCGTGATTCGCATGAAGACAGGCAGACGCGGAGGAAGGGGGTGGAGGGCTGTTTCCACGGTGCTTCTCTGCTGGGGACACAGGACTGTGGCCCAGGAGGAGGCCTGTCCAATGGTTTGTTGTACACACGAGGTAAGAAAGGGAAAGGACAGGAGCGTGTGCACACGTACATGTGCAAGAAAGAGCCATTTGGTCGGAAGAACGCGCGTGCAACTGAACGTCTCCAGAGGTGGTTTAGGCAGGACAATGGGTCACGGCCGCGGTTGGCGGGCAGGAAATGGGGCCCGGGGCCAGCGCTCTCACGGCCACTCCCTTGGCCGCCGCCCTGCCCCGCCAGCAGGGGCTTGTCCCCCGTGGGCCTCACTCGCTCCACAGACTGACACCAGTGCAACGAGACTAGAACATGAGACGAGAACGCTGCTCAGACTGATTGCTGAGCGGGGCCCCAAGAGACAACACCAGTGTGGGAGGGGAGCCCCAGCATCTGACATCAGGCAGGGAGGGAGAGCAGGGCCCAGGCAGGCCGGGGAGGCTGCACTGGAGGGGGGCAGTCAGTCAGGGGCTGAGTTAGGACCTGGGGCAGGAGTGTGGGGGGAGGGGTGGTGAGGAGGGGAAGGGGGGGGCAGGAGTGTGGGGGGAAGCGAGGTGGGGAGGGGGAGGGTAGAGTAGGGGGAGCCCGTGGGGAGGAGAGCCGAGGGGGCGGAGAAGAAGGGAGGGGGTTGGTGGGGAGGGCAGAGGAGAGAGGGAGGTGGGGAGGGGAGGGGAGACAGGTGTGGTGGGGAGGGGGGACCAGTGGGGAGGGGAGCGGGAGGGGAGGTGGGGAGGGGCGCACGGGTGACCTGAGGGCAGCAGGCCCAGACTCTCTGCCACGTCCCACAGGCCCCAGCAGGGCAGGAAGAGCACTCCAGAGGTCCCCCTGGAGGAGGAGGTCATGGCTGGGGTCAGAGGCAGGAGAAGGCGGGAGCCCCGAGCCGGGGGCTGTGGGGGGGGGCAAGGGGAGCACCAGTCGCAGGTGGGGGGCTCTCACCAGAACACGTGGTCTTTGGTCACTCGCTCCCGCAGCAATGTCCACTTCTTCCCCAGGTCGGATGACACGTAGAGCTTCAGGGCAGAGAAGAGAAACACAAGTCCGGTCATACTGTGAGGGATGAGCCTCTTCCGGGCCGGGGGCCCTCTGCCCTGGCCCGCGGATGCCCCGTGGGGGTCGGGAGGCCCGTCCGGCCCGGGCAGGCCCTGTGCTCACGTGGGGGCCCAGACCGAGCTCCGGAGGCCAAGGGTCGGGCACAGGGGCTCTGTGAAGAGGCCGTCTCAGCCCCTGCGCAGCTGGTAGGAACCAAGAGGCCCTGGCCAGGCAGACGTCCCAGGGGAGGCGCACCTGAGCGTCGCTGGCCGGGAGGGACCTGGCAACATGCCACTCCCGCTGGCCGGGAGGGGCCCCAACATCCCGGGAGGCCGGGACCCAGGGCGGTTTGGGAAGAAGGGGGCAGGGTCTGCAAAGGGCACGCGGTGTGAAGGGGGTCCGTGCGGGCGGGAACAGCGGGGTCCCATCTGCGCAGGCCGCCTGGGGTCTGCGGCCACGCCGGGGACACAGGGCCCGTGCTCACAAGGGCCCGTGCTTGGGCTTAACGCTATGCGGTCACCAACTTGAACTTCCTAATATACGTATCTTTGAATCTGAGTTTCGTAAGAGAAGCGCGATGAAACAGTGAGCTCGTGGGGGAGCTCAGAGCCCCGGCTCCCGCGCGGCCCTGCCTCCTGCCTCCTCCTGGGACAGGACCTGGGAGGCCTGAGCCTGGGCTGGGGAGGGTCCGGGTCAGGGCCCCCCCCCCCCCCCCCCCCCGGTGTGTGCCGAGTCCTAAGGCAGAGCCCAGGGAGCCCGGGAGGGTCCACACTGGCTCTGTGTCCCCCCGGGCACAGCGCAGAGTGATGGCAAATCGCTCATGAAAAGCACCGTGACAGCCCGCCTTCCCGCCCCCCTCCCCTCTGACAACCACCTGGGGGAGGAAAGGCACAGGAGAGGGAATGCTCAATGGGATGTGCACCTGGCGACAGGTGGCAGCCACCGGGGGGCACAGCCTAACACGGAGAGCGTCGTGGGATCCCTATGTTGCACACGAGAAGCTGACGTAACATCGTGTGTCCACTACGGCTCAGTTCCCTAAACCCTCCGTGCCAGCGTGAGAAAGATGCAGAAGGGAGGAGGGTTTGTCCTGAGTTTTAAACATTTCTCATGTTGTACCGGCCCCTGCAGGGTACAGAGCCCACCAGGCCCCGGCTGGTAAGATGAGGCGCCGGGCAGGGCGGCGGGTGGTGGTGGGGGGAAGGGGGCAGTTTCTCCCGCCAGCTCTGCCCCATGCCAGCTGCACTCTAACACGGAGCTGGGACACAGCTACAATGAAGGTCCCAGTGGGTCTCTCATTTCTGATTTTTCCAAGTTTTCTTTGCCAGCTTCCCCTGTGGGTGGGTCGGGTTCATGGGAACGCTAAAGCACCCGTGCCATTCCTGAGAGGGGGGCGGGGCGGGAGGGTTTTGTATTTTTTTTATTTGTTTCTAATGTTTATTTTTGAGAGAGAGAGAGAGAGAGACAGAGCACGAGCAGGGCAGGGGCAGGGAGAGGGAGACACAGAATCCGAAGCAGGTTCCAGGCTCCGAGCTGTCGGCACAGAGCCCGACCCACGAGCTGTGAGATCATGACCTGAGCAGAAGTGGGGCGCAGAGCTGACTGAGCCCCCCAGGCGCCCCGGGCCGGGAGGCTTTCAAGGGATCTCTGCACCCGTGAAGCAGGACAGACACGGAAATCCTACGTGGCACACACAGGAGCAAAGTGCATCGCAAAGGCAGGCCTGGGAGGGGACATTGTGCTTGTCACTCCCTGGCTGATGGGGCACGCTGTGCTTCAGGGGCGGAGACCTGGTTCCCCCGAACCCTGCCTCTCAGTTGTGCCACCGTGTCACCTCCGTGCCTCAGTTTCCCCATCTATAAAATGACGCCCGCAGCTGCAACATTTTGCAGGGGGGAGTCTGTGACTTGGGAGGTCGTGGGGTCCAGTAACCCTGGTTCCCAATAGACTCCACAGTACACAGTTGTGTGACACCCCAAAACTTCCTAAACCTCGGTTCCCCACTTTCTAAAATGGGGATCCAGAGCCCTGCCTTATAGGGACGTGTGGGATCACGCTGGGCCCTGTCGCAAAGCAGTGGCACTAATTATGTGCACCACGTGTCCCATCAGCGTCACGTGGGGATGATCTCAGGCTGCCGTCGAGGGCCCACTGCACACGTGTGTGCTGGGCGTGTCCTGTCTCGGACCATCCCAGGGCATCCCTGTGAATCAGATGCTTTTGTGAACCTGTTTTGTAGCTCGAGTACGACAGCCGAGGCCACGTGAGTGATTTGCCCAGGGTTGGTCGCAGGCAGAAGCCGGGTTTGAATTCTCTGTGATTTGAACGCCCCTTCCTTCACTCCTCTGTACTCAAGACGTGTCCAGAATAAGTCAGTTAAGCAGAGCAATGTCACAGCCAGCCCTCAAAACGAAGGAAGGCTCAAGTCAGCCCCTGGACCTCCGGTACAGCGGCCCCAGTGTCTCCATCTGTAAAATGGGTCTAAAATGCCATGCTAACGGCGGCTGGAGCTGGAGCCCACATCTGCTGGCTTTCAGGGCTGGCCCAACACGTTCCGTGCCACGTGCTCCCCGTCTGACCCAGCCTGTCCCCATCAGGGCCCTAAGTTACGAAGCGTAAGTGAGGCCACTGGTGTTACAACTGGTGTTCACGAAAGAAGGCTTTGTGGAACCTTCAAAGGGGAACTGGGGTTTATCAAGCATAAGCCCGGTGCCGTCCTGACCTGCGGCACGGTCGCAAGTCCATCCGGCCGTGCCTAGTGTCAATCCCCCGCCAGCTGCAGAGGCCGGGACCCCGGCCCCGTCCTCACCGACCCGTTGCCACGTGTGTGCTAGCTCCTCCCCCCCGACTCATGGCTGCTGCACTCCCGCACCCTCTCCACCCCGTGGCCCCGCTGAGCCACCTCCGTGGCTTCCTGCAGGCAGGGTTTTGGCCAAGGTCACTTGTTTGGAGGCCCTGGGACTGCAGAAGCAGGCTCAGAACCCAGTCCATTAGGTGGAGGAGACTCAGGCATCAGGGCTCAGGGCCCAGGACACAGAGAGAACTGGCCTTTACTGGACACCCCACTCTGGGAGTGGGGTGCTCCTGAGTGTGCCCCCTTGTGCTGTCACCCACCTGGCACCGGGGACCCTGGCACTTCCAATCATCTCCATCCAGAACCTTCCCACGCCTCCCAGTCCCCTTCCACCTCCACCGGGGGCCTCCTTGCCCCTGGCTTCTAGCAGACGCCCTACGTCTGAGGCCACAGATTCAAGCCCCCTGTTCTGGATCCTTCCACCACCCCCGCAGCTACAGAAAAAAGGCCCAGGGGATCCCGCCTCAGTGCAAACGCTCTCTCCTCGCAAATACTCTCCCCGAACCTCAGCGTCCTGGGAGAAGATGCCCCACCTGAGGACGGCCGTCCCTGCCTGAGTCTCAAGGGCAGCCTCCTGTGACTCACAGCTTGTGACCCCCGTGATTAGAGCGACCGTTGTCCCCTTTCTTAACACACGTGGGGGTTTTCTCTGTGAAGCGCCCTCCTCTGCCGTCACCGGCTTGAAGAAAACATCCAAGGCCACGAGATTTTGCTCTTTGAGGAGGACGCGCCTGTGAGCGTCCTGGGATGGGAGGGCCCCCAGAACAACCACAGACGGGGTCTACACAGCAAAGCCTCATTCCCTCTCAGCCCTGGAGGCCGGGAGTCCAAGACCCAGGTGGGAAGCTCCTTGGTTCCCTCTGAGGCCTCCCTGTTTCCCTGTGTCCTCACGCGGTCGTCCCCCTGTGCCCGTCTGTGTCCTGCTGCCCTGTCCTTATCAGGACACCTGCCATATTGTATCAGGTCCCACCCAGACGGCCTATTTTAACTTAAATATCCCTTTAAAAGTCCTGTCTCCAAACAAGGTCCCATCTGGGGGACGGGGGTGAGGACTTCCGCATACAGATTTGGAGGAGGACACAACCCAGCCCGTCAGGGAAACCACTTTCGACCCCCTTGACCTCTGGGGTCCTCCCGGCCGCATCTGCGGGAGCTTCTCCGGATCCCCAGCCTCGCACTTGCGAAGAGAACTCCCGGCCTCTGAAACGCGGCCGCATTACTTCCTGCTTTTCTGCTAGACCTTGTGCAGCTCGCTGGCACATACCCTGCCTCGCCCACCTCTCCCCCTGCGCCACGCCCGGGACTCATCCCCGCAGGGGCTGCCAAACTTTTCTGGAACGTTTCCAGAAAATACCTCTGGCTTTTCAGGCTGTGTGGCCTCTGTTGTAGCTACTCATCGCTGCCTTTGGGACAGGAAAGCAGCCAGAGAGGACATGTAGACGAACAGGTTGCCTGTGTTCCCAAAAGACTTTATTTACAAACACAGGTGCCAGGCCATCGTCTGCCGATGCCTGCTCTAGGGTCCGTGCTACGAAACTGTCACCTTAATATTTTAGAAAAAGGGCTTTTTGGAGAGCGTTTGTTCCCCCAGAACGTGAGATTCCTTTGCTGATGACAGAGGTGAAGCCCAAAGAGGCAGGGAAGCCACTGCAGGTCAGGCAGTGCTTGCTTCCAGTAGAAGCTTCCGTCTCGTGGGCCTGAGTGTGATACCCCAGTGGCTGAGGGGTCCCCCGGGAGGGATGACAGGCCACCTCTGGTCCCTTCCCTGGCCCATCTGAGCGACCAGGCCGGGGCCCCCACCTCCTGTCTCAATTTCCCCAGCTACAAACCGGGAAAGAACTGCTCCTACCCTCAGACGGTGGGCGGCCATCAACGTCCGGGAGCCTGGTCAGCAAACCTCTGCATTAGCGGATGGCATTATCACCGCTGTCCCCGCGGACGCACCGGCGTTTATGACGCCTGCCCCAGGACGTGACGGAGCCCATTCAATTTGCTCTCGTGGGAAGGGGTTGAGGACGTGCCATCAATGGCCGCAGAAACAGAACACTCCCGCTTGATGAAAGACAGACGCCAGTAAATCAACAAGAAAAAACGCACCAGGGACATCTCGCTTGTTGCAGTAAATCC